CGTTGCATGACCGCGCAATTGTCAGTTAAAGTAACGCAGTGCTGTAACGCAAAAAATGGCCTAGTCAGGAAGGGGGGAGGGGGGGTGTAAATCCTCTGGAGGACGAGGGGTTAATTTAGTGTAGCCAGCCTCTGAGCTGTGTTTGTGTTTTGTTTTTTTTTTGGTTTTCTCCTAAGAGCAAGGACTTTGTTGCGTCTTCCTGTTTCTTGAGATTGTTCTTCAGTAAATAGAGAATATACAGTCTATGGGGTTATGAAGATTTATCCCACCTTGGTCCATCCCTGACCAGTTCATGCCAGTGATTTGGGCTCGGAAGAGAATAAACATTTGGGGAAAACGTCTACATTGGTGTATTTCTACACTTTGCTTAGAGAGGAGGTCGTGTCGGAGGGTTCTTTGCTTCCCAGACCTGCTATCTGGGGAGGAGGGGGGTCCTTACCTCCCAGACCTATTGTCTGGAAAGGATGTAAATCAGGGAGGTCCACTTCAAGCGTCTTAGACCCCATCTCTAAGGGGGGAAGCTAAAGCTAAGAATGAATTCTGCTTAATATATTTCTGGTCTCAACTTAAAGGTCCACTTCTTCCAACTGCTGGTCTCAAATCAAAGGTCCACTAGTACCAATTGCTGGTCTCGGCTCAAAGGTCCACTGCTACAAATTGATGGTCTCAGCTCAAAAGTGCACATCTGCCAATTTCTGGTCTTAGCTAAAATGTCCTTTTCTATTACTTGCTGGTCTCAGCTCAAAGATTCCCTTCTCCTCACTGCTTGCCTCAGCTCAAAGATACAACCACTAATTTCTGATCTTAATTCAAAGGTCCACTTCTATCAATTACTGACCACAGCTCAAAGGTCCACTTCTACTAGATGTTGGTCTCAGCTCAAAGGTCCACTTCTATCAATTACTGACCTCAGCTCAAAGGTCCACTTCTACTAGATGTTGGTCTCAGCTCAAAGGTCCACTTCTATCAATTACTGACCTCAGCTCATAGGTCTACTTCTACTAGATGTTGGTCTCAGCTCAAAGGTCCACTTCTATCAATTACTGACCTCAGCTCAAAGGTCCACTTCTACTAGATGTTGGTCTCAGCTCAAAGGTCCACTTCTATCAATTACTGACCTCAGCTCAAAGGTCCACTTCTACTAGATGCTGGTCTCAGCTCAAAAGGTCCACTTCTACTAAATGCTGGTGTCGGCTCAAAAGGTCCACTTCTACTAAATGCTGGTGTCAGCTCAAAAGGTCCACTTCTACTAAATGCTGGTCTCAGCTCAAAAGGTCCACTTCTACTAAATGCTGGTCTCAGCTCAAAAGGTCCACTTCTACTAAATGCTGGTCTCAGTTCAAAAGGTCCACTTCTACTAAATGCTGGTCTCAGCTCCAAAAGGTCCACTTCTACTAAATGCTGGTCTCAGCTCAAAGATTCTCTTCTACTCATTGCCTGCCTCAGCTCAAAGTTCCACAACTACTAATTTCTGATCTTAATTCAAAGGTCCACTTCTATCAATTACTGACCTCAGCTCAAAGGTCCACTTCTACTAGATGTTGGTCTCAGCTCAAAGGTCCACTTCTATCAATTACTGACCACAGCTCAAAGGTCCACTTCTACTAGATGTTGGTCTCAGCTCAAAGGTCCACTTCTATCAATTACTGACCTCAGCTCAAAGGTCCACTTCTACTAGATGCTGGTCTCAGCTCAAAAGGTCCACTTCTACTAAATGCTGGTGTCGGCTCAAAAGGTCCACTTCTACTAAATGCTGGTGTCAGCTCAAAAGGTCCACTTCTACTAAATGCTGGTCTCAGCTCAAAAGGTCCACTTCTACTAAATGCTGGTCTCAGCTCAAAAGGTCCACTTCTACTAAATGCTGGTCTCAGTTCAAAAGGTCCACTTCTACTAAATGCTGGTCTCAGCTCCAAAAGGTCCACTTCTACTAAATGCTGGTCTCAGCTCAAAGATTCTCTTCTACTCATTGCCTGCCTCAGCTCAAAGTTCCACAACTACTAATTTCTGATCTTAATTCAAAGGTCCACTTCTATCAATTACTGACCTCAGCTCAAAGGTCCACTTCTACTAGATGTTGGTCTCAGCTCAAAGGTCCACTTCTATCAATTACTGACCACAGCTCAAAGGTCCACTTCTACTAGATGTTGGTCTCAGCTCAAAGGTCCACTTCTATCAATTACTGACCACAGCTCAAAGGTCCACTTCTACTAGATGTTGGTCTCAGCTCAAAGGTCCACTTCTATCAATTACTGACCTCAGCTCAAAGGTCCACTCCTACTAGATGCTGGTCTCAGCTCGAAAGGTCCACTTCTACTAAATGCTGACCTCAGCTCAAAAGGTCCACTTCTATTAAATGCTGGTCTCAGGTCAAAAGGTCCACTTCTACTAAATGCTGGTCTCAGCTCAAAAGGTCCACTTCTACTAAATGCTGGTCTCATCTCAAAAGGTCAACTTCTACTAAATGCTGGTGTCAGCTCAAAAGCTCCATTTCTACTAAAGGCTGGTGTCAGCTCAAAAGCTCCACTTCTACTAAATGCTGGTCTCAGCTCGAAAGGTCCACTTCTACTAAATGCTGACCTCAGCTCAAAAGGTCCACTTCTATTAAATGCTGGTCTCAGCTCAAAAGGTCCACTTCTATTAAATGCTGGTCTCAGCTCAAAAGCTCCACTTCTACTAAATGCTGGTCTCAGCTCAAAAGGTCCACTTTTACTAAATGCTGGTCTCAGCTCAAAAGGTCCACTTTTACTAAATATTGGTCTCAGCTCAAAAGGTCCACTTCTACTAAATGCTGGTCTCAGCTCATATGTTCTTTTCTACTTATTGCTGGTCTCATCTCACAGGTCCACTACTACCAATTGCTGGTCTCAGCTCAAAGACCTATGACAACCAATTGCCAGTCACAGCTGAAATTTCCACTTCTACTAAATGCTGGTCTCAGCTCAGATGTTCACTACTACCAATTGCTGGTCTCAGCTCAAATGTCAACTTCTACTAAATGCTGATCTCAGATCAAAGGTTCCCTTCTAATAATTGCTGATCTCAGCTCAAAAGGTCCACTACTACCAATTTCTGGTCTCGTCTCAAAGGTCTACTACTGCCAATTGCTCATTTGAGCTCAAAGGTCCACTTCTACTAAATGCTGGTCTCAGCTCAAAAGGTCCACAACTACCAACTGCTGACCTGAGCTCAAAGGTCCACAACTACCAATTTCTGATCTTAACTCAAAGGTCCACTTCTACCAATTACTGGTCTCAGCTCAAAGATTCCCTTCTACTAATTGCTGGTCTCAGCTCAAAGATCCACTACTACCAACTGCTGGTCTCAGTTCAAAGGTCCACTACTACCAATTGCTGGTCTCAGCTCAAAGATCCTCTACTACCAAGTGCTGGTCTCAGTTCAAAGGTCCACTACTACCAATTGCTGGTCTCAGCTCAAAGGTCAACTACTACTAAATGCTGACCTCAGTTTAAAGGTGCTCTTCTATTAATTGCTGGTCTCAGATCAACTACAACTACAGAAGATACTTGAAGGTAGCTGTCCATCTGGTCTACCAAATATCTGCATTAGCCAATGGAAGAGGTTAAAGATACTACAAGACACTATTGAATGGTAGCAATTAGTTGCTGCTCTTTTTGGTTATTCTGTATCCCCAACCCAAATGAGCCAATAAAATAACAACAAAAAAAGATTAACGGTGGCAATCTGTCTGTCAGTCCGTATTGTTGGGTCATTGAGTGTTTGGGTGCAGCTACAGAACAAAGCAGTGGCATAGCATGGGTTTCCAGTGCCCAAGACACCCTCTTGGGTAGGGATGAGCTCAGGATTGTTCAGACACAAGTCCAGACCTGCCCAAGCTAACCCGTCTGACAGCTCCCAAAGTGGCAGTGGAGACAAAATCCCCTGCCCTTCAGCGTCACATATATAAAGGGCGTGTTTCTGTGTGGGGAATGCCTCTGTGACCTATCATTGGCTTTCAGCTATGAAAGCTTCTCAGCGCTCCCTAAGAATATTTCACCATGGGCAGCTGCCCCTGTGGCCCTGCCCTTCTATTCCACTGGGACAAATCACCAGTTGAAATGCTAGCAGCTCCCTTGAGGGTCCTCGCTATACACTAAAGCCACATGTCTTGTGGCTCTCCCATCTTGTGGATTAGATAGGACTGGAACGTTGGTCACCTCCTCTCTCCACTTTGCCTTTCCTCTTGTCAGCAAGCTCCCAGTATTAGAATGCAGCCCTGTGCTCACAGTGTGGATCCCCCCTCCCCCCGATGTGAGCTCTGTTGTGTTGTAGATCACAGGGAGAAGATACAAAGGCAGGTTCTGGTACTACTACTAGCTGTTCTAAAATACACATTATAAAATGTACGTACCTTCAAAAATATCTGTTACTTTGTTTTTCCATTCTTGTGTTCCGGTTTTATCTATCAGACAACACAGAGAGCCAGTGTTAGAATAGCGCCCCCTGCAATGTAGTCCTGCCTGATTGGATCACCGCTCTGCCCCTCCCCCTGCCTGAATTCTGCTGTAAGGGCAGTACAGGAACTTTTTTTTTTTTTTTTTTGCACGTGTTAAAATTATCTATATTTTAGGCCTGAAGATTACTTAACCCCCCCCCAAACATTTTATATTTTCTGGAAGCAGAGACCCTGGAGAATAAAATAACAGAATAATTGTTAATCCAATCAATATTTTCAGCAAAAATAAAAAAATACACACATTTGATTTTAGCGCACACAAACACAACACAATACCCATTGTTTTTTTGTAAAAATATAAAAGATGAGGTTGCATTAACCACTTCCCAACCGGCCGTTGCATATAAACAGCCGGACGGTGGCACTGCAGGGTCGGGTGGCCGTTTATAAACGGCCTCCCCGCACCCTGCTTGTGCGCGCTCCCTGGGAGCGCGCAGCACCGCGATCCAGTGCCTGCTGTGTCCTCCGGGCACAGTGAAACACCGATCGTCGTACGGGACCTCTGTACGAGGTCCCGATCATGTGATCACTGATTGGCCAATCAGTGATCACATGCAAAGTAGTAAGCAAGATGTCACTTGTGACATCATTGCTTACTACGTGTGAAATCTGTGAATGATCACAGAGGTCACATGGTACAGGGCTATTCACAACAGCCTTGTACCATGTGACAAGCTGTGACCAATCACAGCTCACTCAGTACTTCTCAATGGCTGCAAGAATGCACACAGAGAGAAAGAGAAATGATTGCTTTTACATCCTATATGGGTGTAAAAGCAATCAGTGTAAAAAAAAAAAAAATCTTCATCACCCCCCACAAGTAGTACAGTGTCACCATGGTGACACTGTACTGCTAGGGTGACAGGATGTAAAAAAAAAAAAAAATAAAAAAAAAATAATAATATAAAAAAATAAAGATGTAAAAAAAATGTTTAAAAATTATAATTTTTGGTTATAAACTAATTTGGATTTTTTTTTACTAAAAAGATAACGAAATAAATTTTGGCAAAGATTTATGATGAAATATTATTTATTTGCAAAATTTTATAAAAAAAAACACTTTTTTTTTTTTTCCAAATTTTTGGACTTTTTCATTTGCATAGCAAAAAAAAATAAAATATGAATAAATACCGCCAAAATAAAGCTTTATCTGTCTCAAAAAAATGGTAAAAAATTTATTTGGGTACAGTGTTGCATGACCGCACAATTGTCATTCACAGCGTGATTGCTCTGAAAGCTAAAAATTGCCCTGGTCAGGAAGGGGGTGAAAGTGTCCGGTCTGGAAGTGGTTAAGTAAGTACACCGATCATGCATAACTTTATGACCACGGACAGGTAAAGTGAACAACATTGACTATCCTGTTACAATGGCATCTGAATATCAGTGGGGTATATAAGGCAGCAAGTGAACATGTTTTCCCTGAAGTTGATGTGTTGAAAGCAGAAGAAAAAAAAATGTCCATCGCAGTAGCCGCAGACCAGTCAAGGTACCCAGGCTGACCCATGTCCACAGCTAAAAGTGCCTACAATGAGCACGTTGTTCTAAACATCAGAACTGGACCAGGGAGCAACTTAACCACCAAATTCTCTAGATCTCAATCCAATGGAACATCTGTGGGATGTGCTGGAAAAACAAGTCTGATCCATGGAGGCCCCACCACCCAACTTACAGAACTTAAAGGATTATGAGCATCAGAACTGGAGCACGGAGCAATGGAACTAGGTGGCCTGGTCTGATGAATTCAGGAATAGTTTAGGAGACACAAGGAGTTTTAAGTATTGATTTGGCCTGCAAAGTCTCCAGATCTTAATCAAATTGAGCAACTGCGGGATGTGCTGGAAAAACAAGTCCAATCCATGGGAGCCCCACCTCTTCACTTACAGGATTTAAAGGTTCTGACCTGGGCCAAAGAGCAATGGAAGAAGGTGGTATGGTCGGATGAATTCAGGAATAGTTTAAGAGACACAACAAGGAGTTTTAAGTGTTGATTTGGCCTCCAGATTCTCCAGATCTCAATCAAATTGAGCAACTGCGGGATGTGCTGGAAAAACAAGTCCAATCCATGGAAGCTCCACCTCTTAACTTACAGGATTTAAAGGTTCTGACCTGGGCCAAAGAGCAATGGAAGAAGGTGGCCTGGTCTGACAAATTCAGGAATAGTTTAAGAAACACAAGGAGTTTTAAGTGTTGATTTGGCCTCCAGATTCTCCAGAGCTCAATCAAATTGAGCATCTGCGGATTGTGCTTGATAAACAAGTCCAGTCCATGGAGGCCCCACCACTCAACTTACAGGATTTAAAGGTTCTGACCTGAGCCAAAGAGCAATGGCAGAAGGTGGTCTGGTCTGATTAATTCAGGAATGGTTTAGGAGACACAACTAGTTTGAGCTGTTGACTTGGCCTCCAAATTTTCAAGATCTCAATCCAATCGAGTGTCTGTGGGATGTGCTGGAAAAGCAAGTCTGATCCATGGTGGCCACAACTTACAGGATGTTAAGAATCATGAGCATCAGAACTGGGGCATGGAACAATGGAAGAAGGTGGCCTGGTCTTGTGAATCACATTTTCTTTTCCATTATGTTGATGGCCGGGTGGGTGTGTGTCACTTACCTGGGGAAGAGATGGCACCAGGATGTGGTATGGGAAGAAGACAAGCCAGCAGAGTCAGTGTGATGCTTTGGGAAATGTTCTGCTGGGAAATGTTGGCTCCTGCTATTCATGTGGATGTTACTTTGACACGTACCACCTACCTAAACATTGTTGGAGACCAAGTACACCCTTCATGAAAACTGCCTGATGGCAGTGGCCTCTTTCAGCTGAATAATGCACCCTGTCACTGCAAAAATGGATTGAAGAACACGACGAGTGTGAGGTATTGACTTGGCTTCGAAATTCTCCAGATCTCAGTCCAATCGAACATCTGTGGGATGTGCTGGAAAAACAAGTCTGATCCATGGAGGTCCCACCTACCAACTTACAGGACTGAAAGGTTCTGCGTCTGATGGCTTGGTGCCAGATATCACAGCATACCTTCAGAGGTCTAGTGGAGTCCATGCCTCGACGGGCCAGGGCTGTTTTGGTGGCAAAAGGTGGATCTACTCAATATTAGGTGGGCGGTCATAAAGTTATGGCTAATCATTGTAAAAACCATATACACTCACCGGCCTCTTTATTAGGTCCTCCTGATCAATTGCTTGGTAACACAAATTGCTAATCAGCCAATCACATGCCAGCAACTCAATGCATTTAGGCATCTAGACGTGCTGAAGACAACTTGCTGAATTTCAAACCGAGCATCAGAATGGGGAAGAAAGGGGATTTAAGAGACTTTGAACTTGGCATTGTTGTTGCTGCCAGACGGGCTGGTCTGAATATTTCAGAAACTGCTGATCTACTGGGATTTTCCTGCACAACCATCTCTAGGGTTTACAGAGAATGGTCCAAAAAAGAGAAAATATCCAGTGGGAGGCAGTTGTGTGGAGGAAAATGTCTTGTTGATGAGAATGGGCAGACTGGTTGCTGCGACATTCAGATGGTAGATGAAAAAGTATTTCTTATGGCTTCAAGCTATGGATGGAAGGAAGGATCATCCCACTGGCAAGTAAGAAGAGGGGAGCAAGAGTCCAATAGATTCCAGTGTCAGCCAATACAAGTGCAGGGATGGACACTGCTCAACTGACACTAGGGGGTTTATTTACTAAGGCTGGAGAGTCCAAAATCAGACTCCCTTCTGCATAGAAACCAATCAGCTTCCAGGTTTCATTGCCAAAGCTTCATTGAACAAGCTGAGGTTAGAAGCTGATTGGTTTCTATGCAGAAGGGAGTCTGATTTTGGACTCTCCAGCTTTAGTAAATAAACCCCAAGGAGTCCAGTATTGAGGCATGGCCTCAGCTGCCATTCTAGCCACGCCCCTCTGATTTATTTCACCCCGCCCACCGGGGCTTGGTCTCAGGGGCCATGAAAAAGGAATCAGGTGTGTGTATGTGATAATGAGGTGATTTGAAAACTGAAGGAAGACAAGAGAAACTTAATAGTAATGCTGAAATACAAGAGAAAAAAAAGAATAATAGAATCAAAGGAAAAAAAAAAAGAAATAGGGAAAAAAAAATCAGTCTCTAAAATTAAACTTTTTTTATTAAAAAAAGAGTAAAAATAAAAAAAGACAACTATATGTAATGTGTATGTGTGAAAAATAAAAACTGTTATAACAAAAACATTTTTTTTGAGCTCTTTAGTCCTCATCAGGGACATCATGCAGGACAATGGATAGAAGGGGGGGGGGGGAGAAGGAAGAGAGTGGGAAGGGGGAAAAATTTAGATGGTAGGGTCAGAATTTGGGGTAAACAACATGAAAACATGGATCCATCCTGCCTTGTATCCATGGTTCAGGCTGGTGGTGGTGTCATGGTGTGGTGGATCCATCCTGCCTTGTATGAATGGTTCAGGCTGGTGGTGGTGGTGGTGGTGTCAAGGGGTGATGGATCCATCCTGCCTTTTATCAACGGTTCAGGCTGGTGGTGGTGTCATGGTGTGGGGGATCTATCGTGCCTTGTATAAATGGTTCAGGCTGGTGGTGGTGGTGGTGTCATGGTGGGGGATCCATCCTGCCTTGTATCAATGGTTCAGGCTGGTGGTTGTGTCATGGTGTGGTGGATCCATGCTGCCTTGTATCAACGGTTCAGGCTGGTGGTGGGGGTGTCATGGTGTGATGGATCCATCCTGCCTTGTATCAACGGTTCAGGCTGGTGGTGGTGGTGTCATGGTGTGATGGATCCATCCTGCCTTGTATCAATGGTTCAGGCTGGTGGTTGTGTCATGGTGTGGTGGATCCATCCTGCCTTGTATCAACGGTTCAGGCTGGTGGGGGGGTGTCATGGTGTGATGGATCCATCCTGCCTTGTATCAACGGTTCAGGCTGGTGGTGGTGTCATGGTGTGATGGATCCA